ACGACATCTCAAATTTTTTGAGGCGAATGACTGTTCTAATGATAATGTCGCTTGATCGCAGGAAAACGGTGCGTTACCCTTTCGCTGCGCGAAACTCGTCAAACGAAAGCGGCACTTTTACTTTTCCACAGCGTTCCGCTGTCTAATTCTGCCACCGGGGAGCACACAAACGGGCGATGTAAATATAAAATGATTTCAGGCGAGATTTCGCAATGTTCGAGACGTCGAATGTTCAGCGAACGAGAGAATCGAAGCGGAGCTGCGTCCATCCCGCCGCATAAAATCGTTCGAGGAGCTTCGGCCCCTTGCATGTACCTATAATATACGAGCGAACCACGAATCCATGATGGAGCACCCTGATCCTCCCACGCGTTACGCTAATGTGACAACCAATCATCTCATCAACGACCAAGTGCCGATAATTACGTTTCTCGTTCTCCTGTCTGTAACGTTACTGTACCCACGTCGCGTATCACACATCGGTCCGTCGATTCTCGCTTTTTCTTCGAGGAAAAAGTACCTACATTTGCATCTATATACCTACATAAAATAACTTGTATACATATTAATATATTAATATATAATTGACTTATATGTATACAGTGACTGCCAAAAGTTTCCGACCAACATATAATTTTACAATAATTTTTGTCAAACTGTTTTTCAGTTTAAATTAGACGTCAATATTAAGTTTCAATCAAGTATTATACTAGATATTTATCTGTGAAGATTCTTTATCTAAAACAACTCAAGAAAATTACTCACTTAAAAGTGCCGAAAATTTTTGGCAGCTACTGTATACATTAATATATGTATAATCAATGCATACGAAGAGAACGATTTTGCTAAAACATCTATAAACGCTAGATACAGATCTGAAATTAATTTTATTGGACCATAATAATTACGTAGGAATGTCGAGCATAATGAGCAATGTTGCAAAAAGTCTCAATAGTCCAGCAATCAGTTTGAGTGTCTTACATAATTATTTTGATAATCTAACAAAACTATTTTCAGACTGTATCTAGCTAAATTTTTAAATACTTGAGCAAAATTATCCTTCATATGTATATCATGTATATGTATGTAAAGCGTGGAGGGAGGAAATAGCTTTGTAGTAGCAATTATTCGAAGGAAGCAGCAACTTCCATTCTCTATTGTTCTCATTAATTGCGGCCTTTAAGGTAAGTCACTCTTTTTGTGTCCCTTCTCTCTCGTGTAGTTTATAGAGTCAAACACCTCGTTAAACCGTAGATTATCCGGTACCATTAAGCGATTCGTAATTAAAGAAAGCTTATAGTGTATGTATGTCACTACACGTGCTGAAAGTAATTTCTCGTGAATTCTTTTAAAATAATACCTGTGCAAACAAAGTGTCATTTACTTAAAAAAAACTTACAATTAGTTCTCCAAAGTGGTAAAATATTTAAAAAACTCTAACGAGTATATGTTTAAAATTTAAGTAAATCATTTATACTAAATTATTTAATTAAAATTATAAAATCTATATACTCTCTCTCTCTTATAAAACTAAAAAATATAAACCAATAATTAAACCAAACAAAATCATTTAAAACATGTCATATCCTTCGCAGGTTATCTCCGTTAAATCTTCTATCGTACGTTTGGCATCTTTCCAAAAGAAATAGACGTTTATCTTTAAGCTGATCTAGTTCCTGCATTCCACTTATTAGATTTCAAAGCTTTGTCGGAGCTTTTGGAGGATCGAACGTTTATTCGGTAAATTTCAACGAATTTATACATTACCGTTCATAAATTCCCGGACAACCTTAAAAACAAAACATTTTACGTAATTTTTTATTTTAGCGATAATTTTATTGGTTTAAACTATAAAATAATAAAAACATCTTTCACGATATGTTACCTAGAAAATTTACTTTTCACTAAACTTACTTTTTTCATCAAAAAATCTCCGTGGATAATAGAAAAATGTACAGAAAAAATTCATAAAGAAAAATATTATATAAATATAAATATAAATACGCTTGAAAAATTAAATAAAAGAACGCCCAAATATGTAAGGCTGTAATAAAAGTTAAAAGGGGATTTTTAATGAGAAAAAATTGCAAATTTTCTAAGCATTAATCTATAATAGATATTTTTATTATTTTATAGTCAAAAAGATCAAATTATTGTAGTTATATTGCTAAAATAAAAGAAATTACAAAAGAATATGTTTTATTTTATTTTTAAGAGTGTTTGGCGGAAATCTCTTACGTGAATGTTAGTGTTAAAATGGAAATCCGAAGGAAGAATATGCGTGTTTACATTATCGATTTGACGACACCGTAACATATAATAGAAAAATCACGTACGTGCGATAGTAACACCGACGTATTCATCTGTTAGAAACAATGGTATGGTATAACACGCGTCACGCGTTTCTCGTTATAAATCTGCATTTCGCACGTGCTCGTACAATGCGAGGCTAACGCAAACCGCATTAGATAATTTTTCAATGTTAATGAAAAGATTCATCGACAGAACGAGACATAAGAAGTCATACTTCTTATATATGCGTCACATACGTAAGAAGGACGCATTTTTTACACGTTTTACCTACAAATTAAACGTATAAAAACAAGAGCTTTTCTGCTGATATGATAAATATGATAATCGCAAGAGAATCGATAACAAATCCAATTTGTTCAAGTCAAACTTCCTCGTTACACCTACCGCTAATTGCGTAACAAACGACTTACGACGTAATTAGCACGATTACGCAAAAGAAACTGGCAGTATGAATAGCCGACTCTGTAAGGATACGTGCAAGTTATTTTTCTTCTAATGTATTTCTTACGAAGAAGAGATAAGACGTCTCTGCCATGAAATTCTTTCGACAATAAATTTCGAGAAACAGTAATAAAATCGGCAGCCTATGCAGATAGAATTGATAAAAAATGCATTTTTTTAAATTGCTTAAACATAGAAAACAATATCACATAAATTTAAAAACATTTCAGTTGAAACGTTATAAAAAATTATTTCAAATGGGACTTGAGTTGCCATTTGCTCTCCTTTCCCGGATATCGTCCTCTTTTTTTTTAGGGCGTCCAAGATAATTATGCGCTATCCTGCGCGGGAGTATTATTATTCCAAATCTATAACAATAGTCATGTGATTCCAATTAATATTAATACGCAATTTATTTTACTGATTTATGATGTGTAATCGCAAAGTAAAAATGTAATGTAAATTATTTTTCATTGATGTGAATTCTTTAATACATTTTATATTTATATATTTAATTATTTTATTGATATTTTAAAAATACCACTAAAAACATACGTAGGAACAATTCTAAATCGATAATAAAACCTATAATGAAATTTTTTATTTTAACTCTCACCCTACTAGGTACAATTTGGTGCCTCATCTATATTAACGGGGACACTAGAATGTGTCCGTTTTTTTCACCTATACAGAATGATTCAAAAAATATCTAAAAATTATATAACATACTTTCAACTTTTTAGAATAAATATTGGTACTTCATTTTGGAAAATAATAAAATGTAGTATAATTGATAATTATCGAAAGACGCAAAGAAGCTTGCACCAACAGAAATCGCTCGGCAACTAGTAACCCCGCTTAGTGGTAACGGTTAAATAAAAACATTTTGTATTTATTTATTTTTCAGGTCAAATTGTTTTTTGGTCTAATTGTAAGTGCTAATAAGTAATTACTTAATTAGTTAGGAAATAATTAAATTAATTATTGATTATTCTGACCTATTTTAATCTACACACATACACATCCGGGTTTACAAGCGAAATGTCCGGGATTATTGGCTTGTAAGTTCTAGTTTTGAAAATGTTGATATAGCAACCCTAAATGAAATTCAATATGGGATCAAGCTGAGACCCTGAGGGACCCAATAAAAGTCAATCACTTTCACACGCGAAGACAATATTTCACCATAAAACTGTCAATACGACGCGATGTTCAAAAGAGAGATGTCGAGTTAAATAATAAATACCTCCAGTTTAAAATTTGTCAGAATTCGGTGACGAGAATCATCGCACGTTTACAATTTAACAAAGCAGCGGAAAATGCTCATGAGCTGCAGCAGGATTTTAATACAGCGGAACTCGTTTGCAAACCGGTATTTTCGCCGAGAATTGTCCAGCTCGTTTAAAATATCGAAAGTACTTATCCTGCTTTTGTTCGAACTCGCGAAGGTAGAAATTAAGATCGATTTGAAAATTAAATTAATCAAACTTCGCTGCATGTCGTCGTGCGCGGCATGGATACGCTGTTCTCTGCAGCGTTCGTACAAAGTGCTCGTTTCATTGGATATTTGGTACCCGGCCAATTCGCCACTTGTACGCCACGATCACGCGAGCAAGTGGCCGCGCGCAATATCAATTAATGACTTCCTCGAAAAACAAGGTAGAAGAAATGTCTGGGAACAACTGCATGCAACCTGGATCCCCTTCTCTTCCCTTCCCTTCCCATCCATTGTCCAACAACGTCGCTATAATGCGGATCTACACTCTAAATTTTTGGGAGTGAAATTTCACTCCAAGAAAAATGATAGTTGCGCCAATCCGACAAGGAGTGAACTTCACTTCACTCCTCCAGGAGTGAATTTCTTAACCTAACCTAAAAAATCAACTTTAATGATTAATATCTCGTTTCGCGAGACAGAGCGACGCTTTCTTCTGCCATATTCGTTCATTTTGTGCAAAAACACGTCGAACGAGCCTAATAATTTTTAGATTAGACGTAAGAAGGCTAAACCTAATATTTATTAAAGTGAAGTTTCAGTCTCTCCCTTCAGAGAGTGAAATGTATTCACTCTCCACATAGATTGAAAATTGACTTCCATTTGGAGTGATTTTTCACTCTCTAAGAGTGAAAATTTCACTCCTGTCGGACTGGCGCAACTATCACTCTTTGTGATAGTTTAGGAGTGAAATTTTACTCCCAAAAATTTAGAGTGTACGTCTGCGATAATTAATCTGTTTTCATCTTACCAGCAAGTCGGATTGATCGAGTTTCGCGATGAGATTGGTGAAGGAGGTTCTGTCAGCGAAAAGCCAAATACCGACAGTTAATGCTGCTCCTCCAGCGATCTGTAAAAACACGAGGCTTTAATGTGTAGGTTTCCGTTCTGCTTCGTGGCAGAACCTCAAGGCTACCAAAGAAGACAGAAAGGTCTTAACGCTTATGCTTCGAGGCAGGCAGGCGATTTCTGCCTGAGATTTTTGTTGTGAAAAAAATTTCACTTTGTATGTCGCCTTTCTCGCAAATTTTGTGTTCGATCAGCCTTCTAATTTAAAATTGCTCTTGGTCCCTACATGGAAAGAATGATTTTGTTGAACTATTGAAAAAGTTAGCTAATAATTAGATACAGATCTGAAAATAATTTTGTTGGATCATTAAAATATTGTAGTTATGTACGACGCATAGGGCCAGGGAGGAATTGAGAGATTCAACTCTTTCTCCTTTCCGAAATTTATGATTAAAAGTTACGTGTGACAAAACCTAATATTAATATTTTTCCCATTCAAAATCAGGAACGAGAGAGACATTCCTAAGCTTTAAAATAAAAAAAATAATTCATTAATGCAAAAAATTACTATTTACGTGATAACAGAACTGATAACCTCCTTTCCCCAAAGAAATCCTTGAAATATCAAAACTTTTTACAACACTGCTTATCATGTTTGAATTTTTGTATACATAATTTAATTTTAATGGCTTAACACAATTATTTTCAGCTCTGTGTCTACCTAGATTTTTATATACTTGAGCAAAATCGTACACACTTTGGATTGTGACGTCCGAGGAGCAACGTGAATTTTCTATAAGTATAAACTAAAATAGGTCAATTCTCTCTTGCGTACCTGTCACTCGTGTTCGATAGATTGGGTTCATGAAATGTACCGAGTAGTTTTCTTTCTGATTCAAGGATTACACACTACGTAAATCTTGATATCGACTGTCACAAGACGCTTTGAGAAATAAACATCAGCGGATTAAACATTACATTATATCTTCACTCGCTGATGAAAGATAACTAAAGGAGCTTTCGACACGTTTTGTCAATGTGTATTATCGAGCACAACGGTGCCTTGCAAAACGATCTTATTCTAGCGTTTATTCCTGTGATACAGTAATACATTTGAAAAACCAGGAATTCTAACGGTATGAATCGAGAGATTATTTTATGAGAGAAGATTTCGTGTAATTCAACTGTACACCTCACCAAGAAAGTTTGCGTACTTCTTCGACGGTGATTAATCCTTCTCAACTCTTTGATACTACGCGTATAATTGGCTAAATTAAACACATACAAAATGATGAGTGAGAAATGTTTCGATAACTTCAAAGTAAAGATTTCCAAGGAAATAAGAAATAAACGCCGAATTATTGCTAATTGCAATACTGCTGAATTACGATTACGTTCGCAAACATAAGAAATGTATGTTTCGATTCCTAAATTAGTGAAAACTTGTATACTTACAAAGAAAATAAAGTTGAAGAAGCAGAGAAAGTACTTGGCGCATTGCGACATGCAACTCATTTTTGGTAATTATTTCTCAACTGCACCTGTAACAAATCATCACGTTCATTGATTATAGGTACATGCACTGCAGGATTTAAGATTTTTTAGAAACTAAATTTTAAAGAAGTCAAAACGTCAAATGTGTAAATTTTCTATTTTTTTTTTAAGTTGAAGTAATTTTCTTTCGACAAATTATAAATAATAAATAAAGATATAAATTATAAATAGAAAAAATATCTTAAATATCTTAAATATCTTCATTATATAATTATAAATTATATAAAGATACTTTTAATGTAACAAATCAACTAAATAATGATTTCTCTTAACGTTTCAAAGAGAAAAACAAACTTCAAATTGATTCAGGAACATTTATGAAATAAGTGACTTGCCAAATTCAAAACGCCTTATAAACACACAATTTAATTAAAAATTCATGGCAACTGATGATATTTTATATTAAAACCATATTTTTGAAGTATAATAAAGGGAAAAAAAATTTTTTTTTTAATAAAGAATTTGCGAATTGCAACTGGAGCTCGCGCTACTAAAGCGCGATTAAAGTACGAAAAAAGCGCGTTAAGTCTACGAGTACATTGTTGCGCTTGCACTTGAAGTGTACTTCGATACGAAGGTGATTTTATGACAGATAAATGGCCAACGCCTGGTTAATTAATGTAGGCGAGCGTGTAAACGTGAACGTGTCGTCGCGTGGCGTGGGCGGAAAACAAAGCGAAGAGAATTGTCCGAATTAGAGCAGGCAGCTTGTTGCCAATCGCTCTCAAGGATGTTATTTTCTTCATAGACATTGACACGTAAATTAAAACGATTCCGGTAATCTGGAAACGTGACTGTTTTACAATAACGAACGTGACTCCGTCACAGGTCAAAGTGCTCCCCGATATCCCACGGCTCTCTTCGTACTTTGTGAGGATCGTAATTGCAGGCAATAAAGGTATCGCTTAATTAATCGCGCACGTTATTTCAACAATATGTCGGTAATTAAAATGATAAACAATAAAAAACTCTGGAAATTCTATCTTCTCCAAAAACACAAACTATTTTTTTATATAATTTTTGTGTTTTAAAGCGGAGAATTTGTGTTTTGAAGCAAAAAATTTGTATGATAATTCAATACCTAACGTTAGGGTCTGTCTAATCTTTTCGGTTTCGATTATTTTTAGTACATAGTAAATTCATCCATTTAGTAAAGATTTAATAATTTTGATAATAAGTTAAATCACAATGACACAGTAAAATAGGTATAATAAATTATTATAGGTATTAGTCGTATTTAGGAGTGAAATCAGCTCTTTTAAAAGTCGGAAGAGTTATACTGGAGTAAATAAATAGATAGGTTACATATTTTTTGACCTCCCTGATTGATTATCATTGTTTGAGTCGCAATAAAGATTTTTATCAAGATAGCAAGAAAAAAAACAAAAATTCAGAAAAGGCCCTATTGTAAATAATAATTACCAAAGTTTGTGTATAGCTGTTACTTTCATAATTGTTTTTTTTTTCCAACACTCTAAACGCAACGATATAATGTTATTACACCGCTACATTGAGACTCTTTTCTGTGTTTCCAAATCTTAAATCTACTCGAGAGAGTCAGCTTTGTTTCGGTATTCACTATGATTTCATAAACGCATTGCGATCATTTCTACCACATTGCGTTCTTCTATCCGCGATATTCTACCCTTTTTATTACTATTATTATCTGCTCATATATCCTCTCCTTCGTATTTATCTTACCACACTCCGACACTTGTGTAATATCCTTTCCCCTTGTCTTATATCACTGCAAACTTGCTGTCACGATGAAACGAATAGGACGAGTAAACGTCTTCATTTCGCGTCTGATAAATATTCGAGTCATCGACAGCCACTTATAACTCTACTTCGGGTTCGGTTGTCCGCGAATTGAGCGAAGATCAGTAACGCAGAACCGCGGAAGAGACTTGATCAAAGGACCCGATATCGAATATCCAGAGCACTGTTCTCATTATTCTCCAACTATAAGAGTTCGGTTTATCCTCCCCCTATCCGTCGCGCGCGTCCTCGTTTTGCGTTTCCTCGACGAAGCAGCGGTATCGACTGCGAGCTATACTGCTGCTGCTGCTGCCGCTGCTACCGCCACCGCTGCTGCTGGTCCAGCGGGAGGATCTCGCGTAGTTTCCGCGACCTCACAATCCTCGACGCGACAAACGTGGTACACACTTGGGGGAAGTCACGGCGAGTTGCGGAGCCAAAAGAGAAACAAGAAACAAGAGAGAGGGAGAGAGATGTACGTGAGATGTTAGACAGCCAGGAGAATCGAGAGCGCGCGATTCGGCGCGCGGCTCACCGGGGCGCAGCTCCCATTCCTGGAAATCGATGACTTCCAGGGACGAACGCATCCCTACGGCGCGTCCTGACGCAGGAACGAGTCAACGACACGCGGGAAAATTGGATCAACCGATAGCGCGAGATGCCAGGGTTCCAGGTCAGTGGGTCACCGCCGCTGCGTTGCGCTGCGCGGGAATCAGGATCGAGCCCAAATCGAGCAGAAGTTCTTTCTCTCCCTACGTTGCAACCGTACAAAAACTTGCCTTTGCATCGACCTCACTAACATAAACATCAACTATCTCCCTTTACTCACGACGACGTTTTTCTCGACGCTTCCCTCCCCTCCCCTCCCCTCCCGGCGATCTCAATATATATTCGCGAAGCCAGAGATCACATAAGTTTCTCCCTGCGCGTCGAAATAAATTAGATTTCTCGTATGAGAACGCGTTCGTGCCGAAATCCGAAATATCCTCGTTTCCTGATTGCCCTTCGATAACAATTCGATTTACGAGTGTCCCAGATGTCCAGTGAAATAAACATTATCTGTAATATTTATTTCACAAATCGATCAAGGGGCTTACAGCTGATTATTAATTTATCACAGAGAGGGGGGAGAGAGG